CCCCCCCCCCCCCCCGCGCCCCTCCCCCCCGCCCTTCTCTGCCTCAAACACCGCCCTCAGAACCCTTGGACAACGAGGACATGTCGTTTTGAGATTTAGAGCAAACGCCACCCATGTTCTCGGAGTTTTAGAAAACACGCCCCCTCACAATCACCTCACACTCTGCTCCCAACGGGGTCGCTATGGATAAACTGAGGCTGCTTCTGGCCTGGGAAGCCCTTCAAGGGTTCTGTAGCTTTGACCCACACAAGAGCCACATAGAAGGCTGGGGGGTGCCCTGCAGGGGCCCCTTCAGGTCCAGCTCCTCTCACCTTTGTTCTGCTGGCCCCCCACTTCTTGCCCCACACCCTAAGGTCCTCAGAGAGTAGCTTTCCAGCCTGACCCGCCTTCTTCCTGGTGGAGTCCTGAGTGGCTGGAAACGTATTCCTTTCCCCATCAGGAACCACCAACCCGTTCAACTTTGACTTGTCTTCCACACCCCTCCCCATTTCATGGTCCTCTGCCCCACTCCCTCCTCATGGTTTGGGGTCCCCGCCCCCTCATGGTTACCCGTGAGCTTGCCCCTGATCCCCCCCTTCCCCGCGGCAGGCTAAGCGCCAGATGGCTTGGCAGGGCTTCAACCCACCTGGCTTCTACATGCAGGGTCTTTGCTCTAGGGCCTATGCTTTCCTACTGGGAAAAGGAAGGGAGGCCTGAGATCTCAGAGTATCACTGTGGACTGCTGTGCCTTCACAGGTTGCTGGACCTTCACAGAGGCTCTGCCCAGACTCTCCCTCCACTGACCCCAGCCTTGCCTGCCCACCTGAGCTGGGTTCTTTGTTCATTCAACACAGGATCTCCTTCACGCAGATCAGGGCCCTTCCCATGCCCACCAACTCCTGAAATGCCACCTTCCCTTGCACTTCCAACCCTATCGGCAAAAGCCCTTAGACCCACCCAGGACGTCCAGATGGTGGGTCCCTTTGGCATAGGAGGAGAGGCTTAGGGAAATGAGGAGGGTATTGTCATCAGGTGTTGGCTAAAGCAACTGCAACTGAGGGACACTCTGAGGACTCTCCTCACTCTTCCTCCCTGAGGTCCTGGGTCTCTCTGGGCATTCACTCCTCTCCCCTGACCCAGCTTTGATGCAGCTGCTCAGCAGTGCCAGGCACCATCCTGGGCACTGGGACACAAACCCGAATAGTACACAGCCTGGCCATCAAAGCTCGCTCTGGGGAGCATCCTCAAATGTACCCTCATCCCTCACACACCTTTGGCCCAAACACATGACACACCCTCACATTCAGACTCTAAGGAGCCCCCAGGACTCTGCATGGGCATGGCTGGCTCTGCTCTTTATCAGGAAGCTTCTGCCTGCAGGGCGACCCCTTCCTAGCCCTTCTCTGGGGGGATCGCTGCACACAGCCCTAGATGTGGCAGCAGGATCACAGGCCAGCACGGTGAAGCTCCAGTCAGGTCTGGGAAGCTCTGACTTCCCAACCTGAGCAGGGAGATCATGGCCGGGTTGAACTGATTTAGATGTGGGTCCTAACTTCAGCTGGGCTCAGCCAGAGCGGGCCCAGGCACAGCCACAGCTCAGCCCTGCATGGGTCCCACCGAGGTAGCCATGACTGCAAAGCTTGGACCAGATGCTGTGCAAAAGCACACTCAGGGACCAGGCCCAGAACCCCACTGGAGTCAGACAAGCAGCATGACATGGTCTCCCACAAAAGCTCAGTGCTGATGACTGGGCCTTCTGACAGGCCCTGCGGGAGCTAGGAAGCTCAGGGGCAGGACTAGGACTTGGAGGCCAGTCTGAGCTGGACAGGGCCCCAGTGAGGGTACTCTGCCTGCGTGCGGTGGACCTGGCCATGTCCACAGTTTTGCCCACTCTTCCCGCCTTTGCTTCCTTCCTCTTCGCTTTTTGGTGAAGGTTCCTTGGAGAAACTCCCACCTTAGCACAGGACATCAAGCCCAAGCAGCTAGAGAGCAGTGGAGAAGGCATGAAACCAGCAAGGAAGGAGAGCCATGCTGACCTTCCCATCCCAACCCCAGTCCCACCCCATCTGGCCCTCACCGTACCACCAAGGCCCCACCACACTCCTCATGGCTGCTTGCCTGGGCCCCTCTCCTTCCCCAAGCCTGCCCACTTCCTTCTGACTTGGCCTGGGACCTCCATGCCTACTAACCCTCCGCCCTCACCACTGTGGGCGACCGCCCTGGGCCTGAGATCCCCATCCCACTACCTCTTTGCTCTTAGCTATGGGGGGGGTCCCCTGGGCCCCTGCTCAGGCTGGCCCCATCCCTCTGAGCACCTGGGGCCCCAGCTTAAGTCCAGCACTTGGCTGGTCAGTGACATCATGCAGTCTTTCTGCTGCTTTTTTGTGCCTTTTCCTTCCTTTCTGACTGTCTGGGAGTGGCCACTTTTCACAGCAGTCCCAAGCCTGCCTTGAGAAGCCTGGAAGCTCTTCCTAGCACCCTCCTTCTATTAGAGCTTCCAATCGACTTAGGTCGGGGAACCTGAAGGAACCATTTGTTAAAATGCTCTTCAAATGAAGATTAGAGGTCAACTTTATTGCAGGAGTTATGTCACATCATAGATTGTAAAAGACTGCTTAGGGCTGGGCATGGTGGCTTATGCCTATAATCCCAGCATTTTGGGAGGCAGGAGGACTGCTTGAGCCCAGGCGTTTGAGACCAGCCTGGGCAACACAGTGAGATCTCATCTCATCTCTACAAAAAATACAAATTTAGCTAGGTGTGGTGGTGCATGCCTGGAGTCCCAGCTACTCAGGAGGCTGAGGCAGAAGAATTGCCTGAGCCACTGCACACCAGCCTGGGAAACAGAGTAACGCCCCAACTCAAAAAAAAAAAAAAAAAAGAAAATAAAGACTGCTTAGTGGTGAAGGTGCTCAGATGCTCAGAGAAGTGAGGTGTGGTGGCATGTTCCCTCTGACATTCAGGTCACTCTGTGGTAGCAGGATTGGAGTAAGGGTGGGGTGGGGGCTTCTCATTCTCTTCATCTGAAGAGGGCTAGGCTCCCTGGCTTCAAGCTTGGCTCTAACTCACTAGCTGATGGGCAGGTTAGTTGGTTTCTCTGGGCACATGGTGATCCTAACGCCACCCACCTTATTGGCAATTGTCCCTACACAGTCAGGTGTCACAGCTGTTACCCCTCAGGCAGTGCCTGGTGCATGGCAAGCCCTGTGTAGAGGTCTGGGGTCTTGTCTCTCTGGCCTTTGCATGCCCTGGTGGAAGAACCCACTCCTCCTAAGACCCCTCCCCAACTGTTGCCAGTCAGCTGGTTCCACCCTGCTAGCCAAACAATAAACCTGCCTTCCTCAGCCCTCCATCTGGGATCTTCTCCAGCCTAGAGGTTCTACCCTTGCCTGGGCCGAGGAGGCTAAGACGAGCTGCTTTCAGGGAAGCCACTGTCAAAACACACCCATGGGGCCCCCTGGAACCTCAGGACATGACCCTGGTGCACACCCCTCCCCCCATCCTCTGATTGACTCTAACACCTCGGTTTCATTAATGAGGAAACCCAGAGAGGGCAAGCACCTTGGCCCAGGTCACACCTTAATGGCAGAGCTCTGCTTATTTAAGAAAAAGTGCTCTCTATACAGAAAGAGCCGCTCTCACCAAGGCTACAGTAGAGGTCTTCCTAAGGAAATGTCCTCATCTGAAGGCTACCTCCTGGCATCTGCGGCCGTGATGCTGACTCCTGTCTGCATCCTCAGACCTGAGCCCAGTGTCTGGCACGTGAGGGTGCCTGAACCCTGAATGACATGTGTGTTTGCATCTGCACACCAGCCAGGAATGGGCAGGGTGGGAGGCCAGGAGGCAGAGGCTGGCTCTGCTTTCCTGGGCCTGCAGAGAGGGGAGGCACCAGCAACCCGAGAGAGGGGGCCTGGCTCTCAGCAGGTGAGTGTTGCTCCTTCTGATCAGAGGAAAGGTGTTCTGCTGGTGTCTGCACCTGGGCAGTGTGGGGATGAGATTTGAAGGGAGACCAAAAGACTGGAGACCTTCCTCCCAAACTCCAAGCCCTGAACCTTCACTCGAACACCTGACTCTCACAGACCTGCTCTTTCTCCCACACCCTCCGCTCTCCCAGTCACTTGGGCCAGGTGCCTGGATGTCGTCCTTGGCTCTTCTAATTCATGACAACAGCATCTTTGACTCTGCCTCCAGAACACATCTAGAAATCAATTCCATCATGTCCTCCCGATGCTGTCACCCTGGCCTGGGTGGTCAGGGCAGGAGACCTCTACTGTGGCCCCTACAAGCTATTATCAACACAGCAGCTGGAGTGACCCCACCCAAATGCAGGTGACCACCTCACTCTTCTCCTCAAGACTTTCCAATGTCCCCTCCCCAATTGCCCATTTCAAGAAGAGACCAAAGTCGGTGCAGTGGCCTGCAAGGCCCCACATGGGGTGGCCTCCTCACTCCTCCACGTTAAGCCTCCCTCCAGACTCAGACTTCTGCTGTTCCTGAACAATCAGCCCCTAGCCCTAGCCCTAGCCTCAACTTACAGCTTTTACACTGTCCCCTGAGAGGTGGACATGGCCCCTCCCCCACCTTGTTCAAGACTTTGCTCCAATGTCACTTCTTCAGCAAGGCATGCCCTGACCACGTGATCCAGCTGTAGCCAACAGCCCTGACCTACTAGGCCATCTATTCTTTGGTCACATATCTGTTTCCGCCTTCTCAGTCTTACTCAAGGCTGAGCTCCAAGCATCTCACACAGTACCTGGGACACAATACTGCTGAATAATCAGAAGAATGTAGGGGTAGACTGGGGAGGCAGGGGAGCAGGAGGCTGAGCCATAAGGACCCAAAGGGAGCCTTCATCTCTGATGTGTAAATAAGTTGAGGACTTCAGGAGCCAACAGCTTGGGGGGGGGGTGGCAAGGCTGAAGGTCAACATTGATGGCCTGGGACACCTTCCCCCATCCCTTCCACAGGAGGCTGCTTTGTCCAGGGGAACATTTGGCCTGGAAAAGGCGGGGCTGATGGTGTCTCCAGCTCCTAGTCAGGGCCCAGCCAAAGCCAAAAAGGCGACAGCTACCCCCTCGTTGTGGCTAGCAGAAGGCAGGCAGGGTCAGGTACCCCAGTGCTCCACCATCACTCCTGGAAAGTTCCCTTGGATGAAGTTTTCTTTAAAAAAGTCCCTCCTCTCCCTGCAAGCTATGGGGAGGGGTGCTGGGGGCAAGTGTCCAAAGACTGCCAGCCCACCTGGCAGAACTAGGGAGGGGAGAGCAGGGCAGTCTGGGAGCAGGGCCGCAGCTTTTGGACAGAGCCAGTTCTGCCCCCAAACTCCCCGCCTGAACTCCCCATCTGCTCACCCCAGGGTCTTCTGGCAAACAGAGCTGCCAGCGTAGACCGGGAGGCGCAGGCCCAGGGCTCACCCCGCTCCCTCACTCCTGCCCTCTGGGCCCAGAGGCAGGAGTGTGACCACAGCTCTGCGCCCGGCCCCCAGGCACAGGGCGAGGAGCAGGTCCGGCCAGGCGCAGCGGGTCCAAGCACAAGAGAGGGACCGGCCCACGGAGGCCGGAGGCGGCGGGTCAGTCTGGCGTCCCCGCCCCAGCCCCCCGGCCCCACGCCCCGGCCGCCCCCGGTCACCTGTGCGAGTCCTGGTCTCCCCCGGGGGACGCTCCCGCCGGTGCTCAGTACGGGCGATTGGCGTCTTTGGGCCGCTTCAGCTGCACCTTGAGCCTCTTCATGCCGATCTGGAAGCCGTTCATGGCCTGGATGGCGGTCTGCGCGCTGGCCGGGTTGTCGAAGCTCACGAAGCCTGGCGAGACACGAGGGACGAGGGCCTGGGTTTCCACGGGGCCGCCCGGGGCGCTCCCGGC